GTATCGTTGGAGGATGCATTGCATTTGCCATCAGTGTTGCCATCATTATCCTTGTCTGCTGTATTTGCAAAAGGAAGTCGAAAAATAGGGGTGCTTCTAAAGGTAAGCAAAGTACTTTTCATCAGTAGCTCTTACATTTGAGAAAGTTTAATTATTTTTAATTATTACTTAATTATTTTTGATACGGTTGTTGGGAGGGGAGGTATTTTGATGCTGATTTAATTTGACGCTGTCCATTCCGTGCGACGACAAAAAGGTTTACTCATTTTGATTTATTCAAGGTGGCAAGTCGTGCAGTGGAGATGATGGTTATCGCATGTAAGTTAACTCTGTTTTTATCTTCTGTTACCCTGTCAAATTGTGTACCTGTTATAACCTGTTTTATCAAGTACATACGCACTGTACATGTAGTTTGGTTAACTGTACATCTTGGTTATAGTGAGAAACATTTTCCCATTATTTACACCAGAAGTGCATACGTACACTGCACAACCGTGTGAAACATACATGGTACATGTACATTTAATTGTTCATGCTAAATTGTTGAAGTTTATATATTGTACTGCCTAGTCCTGAGACAATATTTACATGTATCATTACTCTCGACAGAGCAAGACATTTTAATTTACTTAATTGTGTTTTTGTTCTTGTTTTTTTTTGTACACGTGCAAGCTGTTTAATGCAAATGATTACGTCTGCGAACTGTAAATAGATTAACAATTTTCCGACAATTGAGCGTGTTTGAGAGCAAAGCCATGTTGCATTATTAACTTGGTCTCTTTCGGTCGTAGAGTAACACTCACTAAAGTCTTGTATTAACAGGCAGCCAACCCCTTCACGGCTCGGTACAGCCAATGTAGCATATGTTGAAGAAACACAGTATGCTCCAATTACTGTAGCAAGGAGACAGGTATGGCAGGCAGAAAATGTGACTGATCTTGTAGAAGATGCTCTAAATTCATGTTTGCAGTCACTTTGCAGCCATTATTGGGGTCCCCATCTTACAACATTCTCTGGACTAGTGCTTAGCCAATCACAATTCCAGTTCCCTTTGTCAGAAACCAAGTAATCCAACATTCATTGACATCACCAATCAAAGATTGTTTTTTGGTGACAGAAGGCAGCATAGACAAAGCATACCATTGGGGAGAGGAAAGAAAAAGAAATGACACATAGTTTAAGTAGTTTGTGGAAATAGTTCAACGATTGCTTGCGCGCTGACTACAGATTTATTTTAGTGCCTTGTTTTAACTGATATGTCAAGTTCATGTTGATAATTCAAAAGGAAAGGAATGTTACTTTTGGTTTAAGCACCCATTACTGGAGAGAAGTGTTGATTCATGACACAAGATAAGGCCTTGGCTATCTTGACATCCCAAGATGAACAGGAAATTATTCAAAATAGTTGTACTTCCAGATAGTGAGAGTGGTGTCAAATCATAACTTTCAATATAGAAGAACTCGGACGTGCCAATCTTCCAACCAGTTAGTCCTAACAGAGTCTGCTAGAGGCAAGTTGGCATGTTGGTCTTTTCTTGTCATTCAGCGAACAAAACGTATTTTATCGATCCACAGTGTAAATAGTAGGAGATATGCCTTTCATACAAATTTAAAAATACACTGTAACTGAAACAATTGAATTGTACTGTTACTACAGTACATAACAGCAACTCTTCACCATGGTCATCGATAAACATTGTTTTGCTGTAGAAATAAAGAGGATTTATTGCACTTCAGAGTTTGCTCTTGTTGGGTCTTTTTGAGAGTTCTCAACAAAATCCCCTTTGGGTGAATGCACAGGATAATCAAGTTAACAGTAATTCCTTTACGTGGTCCTTGATTTACTTTTTATGATAAGTAGGAAATTCGTAAATTCTTTTGGTCTTGTTGCTCTTGAGTGAGACAAATGCAGACTTGTTAAATTTCATCTTATGTTGCCTGTACCATTATTGAGAGTTATCTGTAAACCGCGAGGGTTTAGAACTGGAACATTATTCAGTCTAAACGGGGTGGCTTGTAATCTGAGTTTGTCGCAGGCCTGTGTTGTAGAGACTAAGATTTAAACCCATGACCTTTTCCTCTGCAAATTGACACTTCCAGCCCAAGTAACCAGAGCTGATTGTCAGAAATGAGAGAATTTATACCTCCTAACGTTTAATCTTGATGTGGTATAATCGTTAAGCCTTTGATAAAAATTGTTGTTTTATTTTTTTT